TGCACGTGAGAGGCACAGTGGAGGTGGAGTTCAAAGAAGAATGAGAAATTTAATGGTTTCAATCTGCCCTTGTTTTTTCTTTTTCTTTTTCTTTTTCTTTTTATTTTTGCATGTTATCACTGTGCCCGTTTTTTGCTTTTATTCTTTGTCCCGCAAAGTGCGCTCTTTTAGTTTGTAGTAATGTGACAATATATATATATAAGGCCATCACACTACCGGTAGCACTTCTTGAAATGTATCTGACCCCATGCCCTAATACGTGCGGAAGAATGGCGCCACCCCTGGACTATCTGGTCGGGAGAATTGCACCCCCTGTGAAGCAGCCGGTTGAGGAAACTGTGCGTAACAGGACAGAAACAAATTTGTGATCTGACCCTCGTTTGCCGCAGGACGTGTGCAAAATACCTAGCAACCCCCTGCCACTGTGCCAGCTTTTCGGCAGGCCTCGTCGGACCTGTGCAACTTTGCACCATAGGGCCTCGCTCCACTACTCTACATTCATCTCCGAAATGGAGAGTGGATGGAGAGCTGTCAGACTCTCGATTTCGGGTGAAATTGGGCCTCGCTGCACTACTCTTGAATCTTGAGAAATCAAGAGTTCATCACGGCTGCACTAACTCTAGATGCCCCGTCCTGAATTTCCATTCAAGAGCTGTCAGATTCACTCTTGAAAACATCGAGAGTGAGTCATGGCTGCACTAACTGTGGAAAAGTGCTCTTGGTCCGGCCCTTCAAGAGGTGTCAGAAACAGCCCATCGGACGAGCTCCTGAAGCTTCCACAGTTCCACCTGCAGGGGCGTTTTTTAAAAACAAGGCCGACCGGACCCTTTGTGCGGTTTGCAAATTCGAGAGTTGGCCTCCAGTCTCGGTGGACAAATCGTCGATGCCCTGTCGTGTAGTGTCTTTTCAGTTTCTCGATCTTCTGTCCGACAGTCGAGAATGCTCACGAGAGTCCAGAGTCCGGAGTAAGTGCAGCCATGACAGCACTTGATGACAATCCAGGAGTCAGACAGCGCTAGACGTACTCTTGAATATTTTTATGTGTCTAGCGTAGTGCAGCGAGGCCCATTGAGGCCTCTCTCCACTAATTCTCTATTGGGCACACTCTTTTTTTTTTTTTTTTCCTTTTTTTTTTTCTGTTTGTTTAAAGCCCTTTCGCAAGTCCACTATCTCAACCAATTCAATTACCTGTCGAATCCAGACAGGACGACCTTTCAGGCCTTTTTTATTGTCATTATAGTATTACCGGGGAACCCGTGGCAGCCACATCCGTGCTCAAGCCTCCAACGAGGGAACATGTGGGAGCTGCACCCACCAGCAGGCAGGTGGGCGGCACCAGTTGAGGTGCGATACCTGCTACAGCAGGTGGGCGGCACCGGTCGAGGGATGTGATACCTGCTACAGCAGGTGGGCGATACTGACGAGGGGTCAGCTGGTAGCATCAGGACCGAACTTCTTCGATGGGCCAGTCATGCCTCCCCTCCGGTCCCCTCCCTTATGAACATCAGCAGTCTCTGCTCAGTGCCACTCGGGGGGACCAACAGCATATCTCTTGGTGGTGGGCGCCAAGCTTGCCCAGGAAGGTACATGAGGCCAATGGGGATTGAACCCAACGCCCCCTCCTGAATGCCACTTGCGTGCCGTACCAACTGAGCTAGGTCGCTGGATAAATTGGACACACTCTCAAAGTACTTCCCCTTCTTCTACATTGTTCCCTTTTTTTCTCAACACAAAATGCCAAAAAAGAGAAAAGAACAAAACTTGATAAAAGAGAAAAGAACTACTCTCGATATCACGTCAGGAGTTGAGGGTCCCAGCGAGAACCGTTGACTTTTGGGAGAGCTACCGTCTTCACCTGAGTAGAACCGCCGGTAATTATCGCCGTATCTGGGCTGAAAGTTGTGCCAAATACAGCTATAATGACCGGGCGTTCTATTGGGGTGAAGACGGTAGACTGCGGACTCTCGAAAAATCGGGTCCTCTCGACAGGCCCTCTCTGACAACTCTCGAATAATTTTTGAGAGTGGTGCGATCGAGAATAAGTGGAGTGGGGCCCATAACCCCGGGCCTCCCATGGCCACCGCAATACCAAAATTGGGCCTCCCTCCGCTACTCCTGATATGCGCAATGTTCTAGCAGAAGAATCATTCTCATTTTGCACATTTGGTGAGTAGTGGAGCGGGGGCCATTGTCTGTGCTGGTTGCCCCAATAGGCCTCGCTCCACTACTCTCGACATGCACAAAGACACAAAAAATATGGTGGTGTATCTTTCCATGTTCTAGCGGAAGATTCGTTCTCATTTTGCACATTTGGTGAGTAGTGGAGCGAGGCCAAATGTCAGATGCCAATGGGCCAGAAGTACCAGGGGATTGGGTGAGGTTGAAACACCACCTGAAGGCTCACACTGAAAACATGTCATCTCAGGCGATGGATATTCAATGAATTTGGACTGCAGTCAAATGGGCATTCAAGGAATTTTCAGTTCATGGCATGCAGTGCCATGAACTGAATTCAGTTTCTTCCCTCCATATTCCCATAGGTTTCAGATGCAAAGTGTTTGAAATGTTCACTTAAACCACCGCTACCTTTCTCATATGTGAGGCCGCGGGCCTCAAATTCAATTTGGCCGCCACGCTCCGTCGATGAAAAATATCGACGGCGGCGTGGCGACTATTTTTCAGGAGTAGGCTACTAGATGCCTGTGGCTGACATATGGGAAAGGTAGCAGTGGTTTAATACTCTTGGTGTCCTGCAGTTTCTGACGCCTTTCTGCTTGTGGCTTGTTGACTTTCCCCTTTCTGTGCCTCTGTTTTAATCATTCTGCACGGTCCTGCCCTTTCTGGAGGTTGCACGAAGCTTGATTTCCTGGCTCTGCGAGGGCACATTAGAACATTTGTGACCATCACGTTTCTAGCTGGCTTTGCGATTTCCTCTGTCAAGCGGAAGCACGAGCAGGGACAGAAGTTGGGCATGAGACAAGCAGACCTGGCCGACATGCGTGGAGTATGTGTGGATATGTCTCCAAGTTGAATGGTTGTGTCTGCCCATTCAGTTCACAATGCAAACCCGCAGCAAGTGGGAGAGAGAAGTAAAGGAAGTGGCGGTGGAGAATGAAGGAATCAATGGTGGAGGGAGGCTTGGAAGGGGGTGCAAGGTGGAGAGAGGTTCTGGGGTTGAGATGAGTGCTGGTGTGCGGTGCTCTGGAAGAGGAGGTTTTCGGCGAGAAAGTGTTCGGTATCTGGATGCCGATGATTCAACGGCTGACAGCGATGAGTCTGAGGATAGTCAAGTCAATACGATGAAGCTTGAACTGACCGACATTGACGGAGAAAGTAACTGTAATGGTTATGAAGATTGGGAGAATGGCTCAGACGAGGTGGCCATGACATTGACATTGTTGGATCACATACCATTGGATGGTGAAAATGCAAATGGAATGCTGAGTGAGTTGAACTTCCCATGCTGGGCTTCTGAGATGGGCCCAACAATCGGAGAGGGGAATTCCAAGAAGGACGGGTGCAGCCACATTGTCTCGCCGAAGGGGTACACAAAATGCCTAGGGGGGGTCCTTGGGGCAACCACTGGCAGCAGCAAAAGAATGGGAAAGGTGTCGACGGTGCTCCAGGACCTGCCAGCGCAGCCTGACAAGAACAGCAGGGCTCTTCCGTCACATTTGGCTGAAGTTAAGGCCCTTTACGAAAGCTGCACGAATCTCCAAACTGTGGAGAGTAAGACTACGAAGCGCTCTCAGAGACTATCTGAAGAGGGAAAGAGGGATAACATTCTTAGCTGTCAAGTGGCAGCGAGTCTGGATGGATTCCCACATAATTGGCATCATGAGCGTCTATCGTCCGGGAGAAATGGAAGGTCTCGACACACCCCTCAGGAAACAGAGAACGAGCTGGCGCTTATTGCCAGGGACCCTCCATTACTCAACACCTCACTGCTATCTTCTGCTGGTGCGCGGCGTGCAAGGTCAAAGAGGACATCAATCAGCGGGTCGGGCAACAAGCAGGAGGATGAAGAGGAGGGAAGAGAGAAGTCAGCCCCAGAGAAAAATATGGAGCGATCGGTGGTGGGCAACGAAAGTACTGCCGGGGATGCAAATAAGGGAGCGGTTGTGGTCAAAGGGAGCCAAGGAGGGAGTGTGGGTGGCGATGGAACAGAGCAGCATTATATCTCAAACAGTAAGGTGCTGGGGCAAGAATGCAGTCTGGACAGGGACTGGGACTCGTGGGTCGGGAAAGGTGACGAGAGTGACAGGTTGTACTGTGGCGGTCTTGGCTTGTCTCCTCGTGCAATCTCAGGAGGACAGGAAGTGGAGCCACAGGAGGAGAAGAAGCAGGCGGGAAAAATGGAAGACAGGAAGGGGGCAAAGGAAGCAGAAACGGGCATTGCTACTAGGGGGTTCACGTGCCTATCAAGTTCGGAGGTGGAGGGTAATCAGAGCCTGCTGGGAAGGGACGACTATGGAGGAGCAGGGGGTGGAAGGCTCAGTACGAGTCCGCATGAGGCTCAGGCTCAGTATGTCATAGACGATGCTGTCATTCCTTGTGAACTCGAGAGACATGGCAGTGGCTCCGTGCACGAGGAGGAAGAGGAGGGTATCTCTGTCGAGCAGAGTCTGATTCTGTGGCGTACCACTGACCCAATAATCGAACCGGCCGGAACAGGTTTACCTTTTTCGTCGTCTGCTCCTCACGGCATGCTCATAAACCCGTTGCGACCCTGTGGGGACGGTACTGTTCATGACGGTACAGAAGAACATTACCCACATCACAATGGGAGGAGGGTTAACCCTTACAAGAAAGGAGTTGATGAGTGTTCAGGAGAAAGGAGCATGAGCGGTGGGCAACGTGCTTGCTGGGATGAACAGCCATCACTAAAAGCAGCCAAAGCCAATAACAAGGCAGAAGATGAAATAGGAGTAAGAAGCACAGGAGACAGACTTAGAACTGCAGAAAGCAGGCATGTGCAACGTTGTAACTCTGGAAGTGTTTGTGGTGAAGTGCCAAGGATTTCAACAGTCGACACTTCAGGGAAGTTTCTTAGAACTGTCCGATCCCATGGACTGTACCAGTTAACCTGCCTTCAAGAGGATGGTAGAAGAAGCTCTCAAGAATCTCAACTAACTGCTAACGCTGCAGTTTCCAAGTCATTGTCAGCCAGTGGTCTCGATTCTCTCGGTGCTGCAGATCCGATGGTGCAGAGTCTGATCTGTGAAGACATTGACGAAGGCAGCCGTTATCTCTTCTGCAGCACACAGTGGAAACCTTGCAGAAGCTCCATTATCCCACCTTTCGTGAATGGTAAGGAAGAAGGGACGACCGCCACAGCAGATCTGTCTCAACATGCAGCTCGACCATCAATGGAGGTTCAACCTGATGGAAGTGTTTGTGCGAAAAGAAGCAACAATGGATGTTACAGTAGTGATGATGCCGAAGCTATGGATCTGTCAGCACCTGGGAATGCTGAGATTTCCGACGGCGAGCATAGAAAGCAAATACATCGTCGTCACGAGCGTAGAGACACTCCTGGCTGTAGCTGGAAGGGCGGAAACCAGCACGGCGTGTTTGAGTGCCGTGACAGTCTTGTCCAAGCTGCATGTCCTGCTGCTGCTGCTGCTGCTGTTTCTGATCAGACAATAAATGGCGATGATGGTGGTGGTGGTAGCGATGATGATGATGGTTATGCTCATGACGATGGTAACGAACACAAAGCTGGGTCTTATCTGCATTCTGAAGGGAAGAGAGGTGGTGGCGCAAGGGGTAGAATGCAGACCGAATGCAGAACTAGAGAAGATGCCATGAAAGCAGACTGTGGCAGTGACCTAACTACACACAACTGCAAGAGTGATGGGAGATGTAAAAAGGAAGAAAGTGTGGAGTCCGCAGCAAAAATTCATTCGACAGGGAGAGTTGAGGACAATTTCGAAAAAAGCAAAAGCTTGAAGGAGGTAAAGGAGATGACAGAGGAAAGGAAGAGGAAAGGGGTAGAGCAGGAGGAAGAGGAGAAGGGGTGCAAGGAGAAAGAAGAGCAAGAAAAGGCGGATGGGAAGGAGGAGTGCAAGGAGAAGAAGGAGGATGCGAAGGAGGCAACGGATAAGAAGAGCAAGAGGGAGGGCGACCACAAGGAGGAAGAGGAGGAGGAAAAGCGTGAGAAAGAGGAAGAGAAGGGGGCAAGGGAATCAGAGGAAGAAGGTGATCAGGAAACACGCAGAATACGAAGATGGCCAAGGGTTCGGATAATACAGCGCAATGGAGAGCAAGTGGGTGGTGGTACAAGTCCTGTCTGTAAGGAGAAGTTGGGCTGCAGTGAATCTACGTACGATGGACCAAGGGATGAACCCTCTCCAAAGAAGGAGCAAAGGATGGGCCAAAGGATAGATCAGGTAGCTGCTCCATCCTTTGGTCGGATTGGTCCTTCTGCAGGTAATCTGTCCTTCGAGGGGGAAAATGAGACGGAGCTAGGCTCATTGCTACACGAGGAGCTACGACATCAAGAACACAGGTCTGCCAAGGGGTCTAGTAGGGAAATGGAGGAAGGATGGGCATCAACAAGGCACGAGCTTTCCTCTGGACATGGTCAGTTCCATGATGCCGCTAGAAGAGACTCCCCTAGAAGATTGCTGGCATGCTCTATAACTGACACCAAAACTGAAACCAGGACCAGAGATGCAGTAGAAACTCCCAAGTCTTTTAGGTCTATTGCTAGCAGGGTATCATGGGAATCAAGAGATTGGCGGAGCAGCGCTGCTGCATCTGATGTTGTTTCTGCATTGGGCGCTAAGCGCAGTCCCAATGGACGACTGTCAGAACAATTGCATGCTGCTCACAGAACCCACAATAAGCACAATGAACCTCACAGGATTGCAGTCACACAACGGCGGGATCAACATCCAAATCCTCATTCAACCAAGGGATCGGTCATCGAACCAGTACCTTCGAATCGACGGATTCCAAACAGCCGACACCTTCAGGATGTAACAAACAAAATAGTAAAAGCGGACAAAACAGCGAAAACAGATAAAATAACCAAAACAAACAAAATAGTCAAAACAGATAATAAAGTCAAAACAGTCAACGGTGGCAAAGAGACGAAGAAGCAGAAGAGTGGGGCGGAGTTTCGACAAGTAGCTAACCGCACCACAGCAAAAGGCGGTACTGGTACTCCTGGTAGTAAATCAGGACCAGGGTTGAAGGTGGGGGGAGTGAGGAATGTGAGGAGCCATGCGAGGCTTTCGGATGACGAACAAGTCACAATCGGTGGTCCCGACACTGTCAGGCAGAGCACCACGGTCACACTGAGGGAGAAAGAACACCAGTCAGCCCACACACACATGACGGGTGCCATGCCCCCGGAACAAAGACTCAGCGTGTCCTCAGAACTGGTGGTGGCTTGTCCCAAGGATAAAACACTCGCCAATGGGATCTCAATGCCGTTCATTGACGGAACCTCGGGGGTTCCACGTGGTCCAAGGTCTTCACCGGGCTCAGGTCCCACTGCAGGTCAAACATTGATCGACCTGTTACCAATTTTCGACCCTCAGTCAACATCAACATCGATTGAAAGTCAAGCCCAGACTTGCTCTGGAGCACAGGTAGCTTCCAGATCGCAATTCGAGATGGAGCAACTGTCAACGAGAACCCTTGGATATCGATCGCAAGCAAACATGGAAGCCGCGCGAGGAATGACAGGTTTTGGTGTGCGAGACGAGGCATCAACTCTTTCGGAAACCCCAGCTTCTACCTTGCTTATCGATCATATTGGTCCTTTTTCGCCACAGAGCAGCTCAGGACAAGGCTACGGTCCTGGTCTTGTTCCAGCGTCAGATGAGTCTTGCAATGTTGTTGTTGAGGATGAGAACACAGGTTCGAATTCGATTCCAAAACCCTCATCATCTGTGCTCCTCCCATCTGCAGCCGTAGGATCAGAGCAACTGAAGGACATCCTGGAGTACCTGTCGAAGATGACTGAGATCCAGCTGCCGAAGTCCCATCCTTGGTCCCCCCATCTGCCAGCTAGCGTAAATGATTTTGCCGCGAAGTCGAGTCAATCAGAGAAACCCAAAGGAAGTACAGTTGATAGTCTTCAAATTGCGAATCCAAACGGTGCCACAGTTCATCCACCGAGGGTCCAACTCCAATCAGCGGCCCACCGACACCCACAAACGGCTGAGAATCAAGGTCACAAGGACGATGGAACTACCGCGACCAATGGATGTCCTCGACCTGGCGGACATTTCAACGACCAAACAAAAAAGGAGGGATCTGAAACTGGAATCAGCAATCTTCATTCTCAAATCGCCAGCTGCAACAGTAATAAGCGAGGTGTTGATGACAGTAGCAACATGGCGCCTGCCACTCCCTTTCAGCTCCATCAACTCCCAGTCGACCTGGCGACCGGTGGCACTGCCATAGTAGCCATACATGATGGTTGCAGATCTGAAAGCTCTGGTTGCTTACTGCCTGTGAAGGGAGTGGCGTATGGAAAATTTGCAACATCAATTCACATCCCAAGCTCCATAGAAACTGAGAATGTTGATTCCAGTGTCTCAAGGAGTGATTCGATGTCGGTGTTGATGGGACCCGATGCTTCGATTCTGAGTTTGCGTGGTGGGGGGTCAAACCAGTCCAGTGAAATTCAGGTTGGAACGGACAGAAGTGAAAGCTGCAGCAGTTGGACATCCAGGGGAGGTGGAGGTGGTGGTATGTACTGTTTGACTCAGACCGCTGACCTGGATAGGAGTTGTTCCCTTGCTATCAGTGTGTACGATGGCGTGAAAGCCCGAATGAAGAGCTTGAAGGATGAGCTCTTGAAGCAGGAGGGATATATTCAGGAGCTCAAAGATGAAAGGGAACGTCTTTTGAGGGCGCATGAGCGAGATATGATGAGGTTACATCTCCTCCCTTCCCATCCTCCCTTCTTCCCCTCTTGTCCTCTCTCTCTCTCTGTTACATGCACAGATATGTGATGTTCGTAATAACCGAGGAACTGCAGTGTGATAAAAAGGACTGAAATGGACAATGCGGTGAGAGTAGAATCTCGACAGACAATGTGCATTCTCATACATACAAAAGTGCTGAATAGCGCAGGGAAGACTTAGATACAAAGACTGACCTGACCAGGACTGA